CTTCTTTGGCTGGCCTCCCAACATAGCTGTTACAACGAGGAGGGGCTCCCTAGACTCTGCGCTTGCCTACAGGTGACTCCTCTTTATTTCCTAGAAATACGACGGAAGCTGCATTCCTGAGCCTGTTAGATACTGTCTGGAAGTTGCCTCTGACCCTGGCTCCCACCATCTCTTCTTCCTGAAGCCCTTAGAAGCAATCCCTGCGGGCGTGGTGATTGGACAACGCTAGCTCCCCAAAGCCAGCCAATCACACGCTATTATGCTTTACCCCGTTGCCTTTTGTGGGTCTCACTGGTCCGGTCTTGGCCTGTGCTCTACTGGCTGCTCCATCTCCCTCTATAACATGGTCCATGTTACTGCTGGAGAATTGCTGTGGACCCTCAGGGCATCTGCAAAACTTTCTGAGACTCCAAATTCTCACCTTGGGGACCTGTTTCACATTTTCATCACCCAAAACCCCTGTGGTCATTTTAGGACCCAGCTGAGGGCTTGGCACAGAATTAAATAGTCAATAAGTATCGTGGAAAGAACCACATTCATGAAAAAATAATTTATATCCCTTTTTTTTAACCTCAGATAAGATGTAAAGCTTTCAGTCAAAGTCCTTTGATCGGCACAAAATAACCATGGTTACTGTGCCGGGATAGGATTCCATGACATTTAGGTCATATGTACAGCTGATTTCAGGCACATACATAACTTCAACAGGACTAGTAATTGGCACAGACCTAAAAATCCACCTCCCTGTACTGAACATGTTTAGACGTCCCAGATCAGAGCTCACTGTGTCCATGCCCTGATTCCATGCCAGAGTCCCTCTATCGTCTCCACACACCCTCACCAGGGACCACTCTAGTCAAACCACTGGCATGTGCGTTAGATTTTTACCCTTCAAAAATAGTCCACATAGGATTTGGCATATCCTGAAAGCCTCATGTGGGCATTCCTTGCAGTGACAAATAAAACACAGTCTTACTTGGGGAGTGTGGGCTGTCAGAGGAGCCTCAAGGGGATTAGGCATGCACCTAGTAAATGGTCATGATGCTAGAGCATCAGAGAGCCTGGTGTGCATCTCTATGGGCTCCTGGGTATCAACCACATTACAGAACACCTGGGAACATGGGGCGCCATTTCTGGTCATGTAAAAAGTCCTTTAAATCCCCATCTTTTCATGCAGCTCAGGTGGCCCCCACATGGGTTTTCCCCTCATGTTCTGGTGTGTGGGAGGAGGGAAGGGATCAAGAAGAAGGGTAAGGGTGCTGGAATTCAAAGGTTTGGACCCTGGTCCCATCTCAGGGCGACCTTAGGATCTTTGATCCCCGGGGAGGAGTGTATTGGCACTTTGGAATGGACAATTGTTGGTTGTGTGGGATGGATATGTGCCGTTCAGTGTTTAGTTTATCCAGCTGTTGCCCACTGAAGGCGTGGAGCACCTCTAGTCTAGTGACTATCAAAGAGTCCCACGTTTATTCCTGGGAGTGAGGCTGACCTAGTTGGGAACTTCTGGCTAGTGGTCAGAAATTCACTCCACTCCACGGCTGATATTCTGACGTTCAAGGGGAAAACGGGGGACTCTGACCTCCTTGCTTTAGACATCTTTCCCCCCACCATGCCACACGAGATCCCCCTTCAGTCAACAGTCTTAATTTCCAGAGCTTCTCTCTCAGCCACCCTGTCTGCCAATCAAAACATACTCATTCTGCGTCTCGTGTTTTTATGGCCTGGGTCTCTTCTCGTTTGGGTTATTGCTAACCAACTATTTCTACCAATTATGTTAATGGTTCCATCTATCAATAAAAATGTGTGATACTTTCTTTTCTATACATAGACTTAGATGCTGGAGCTGGAATGAATGTATAGATTGGCTTGCAGGAAAACGGTACTGGCTGGGATGCAAATAGTCGAGGGCTTGTTCTAGGTGGGTCCTCTTCACTTTGTGCCTAGTCCTGGCTTCCAAACTTCCTCTCCTTATCTTTTCCCAAGGCTGATGCTGTCAGAAGAATCTTTTTGCTTGAGTAGCAACTAATGACAGAAATGGCTTTAGAATGAACACCCCAGGTCTGCCTTTCCCACTTGTAGGCTTTTGTGTCATTAAACTCATTCTGCTGAGCTTCAAGTTCCTTCTTACAAATAACCTCAGAGAACAAATTGGAATAATGCTTGTGAATTTTCTGGTACCAAGCAGGTGTTCATGATGTAGTAGCTATTCCTTTGGCCATTATCATCAGCATCACCGTGTCCTCTCTCCTCCTTTAGTCCAAAGATGTCAGCGCCTTCCTGCTGAATAGAATATAAAGAGCAAATGCTTTCCCTAGTCGTCTGGTTCCTCATCCTCTTATTGCTGGTCTACCAGTTGGTCCTAATGAGCCTTGCATGCAGCCCACTGGGCCTTCTCTGTTTCCCATTAAATCCAGTCCACATGCTCACACACTGTCAAGTTCCAAAGCCATGGCAGGGATAGAGGCACCTGCAGAATCTGATTCTTCACATGAAGATTATTGGGATCATGTAGGTGACAGGAGTCATAATCTGTGCTCCATGAGTAGAGGGCTTTAATTGTCCTGCCCAGGTCTGGCTGAAGGGCATGGTCCCTCATTCCAGGTATCTACTCCTACAGAAGAAGTCCAGCTCAGTCCCCTTTCTTTCTTAGAGTATCCTTCTCTGCCTCACTTCACTTGCTTGGACCTCCAGCTTTAGATCCATTACCTAGGTTAAGTCTGATGCCATGCCCTCTCCTGCAAGGGCCCGCTGGCCCAGCCAGTCACCTCATTAATCAACTTGGCTATGAGCCAAAATTGTGTGGCATGGAGCCTCGTGACCAGGGATGTCACATCCAGGCCCTGTTCAGGGACCCACTGGTACTGTCAGGATCAGCTTGGCTCAGAGGAAAGAGGCCCATTGTGCTGCATAGCAAGCGGAGTGAGGCCTGGCAAAGAACACAAAGGCTTCAGGGAGGAGCACTTCAAGGCCAATTGACCTGGCTTTAAATCTCTGCTTTTATACCTTTCTAACCTCATGACCCTGAGTAAGCCACATAAACCTTCTGGGCCTCTGTTTCCTCATCTGCAAATGGAGATTATAGTCCTTAATTGCCGAGCTGGTGAGGACCAGGGCAGGGACTCTGAAGCAGGGATGTGGGTGGTGGCTACCCTGATGGAAAAGGCAGAGAAAGGGAAATTCACATTCATTAAGTACCTCCTTTTTGCTGGATGCTGTAATATGCTTTTCTCACTTCAATTGTGCAATTTGGTGCAGAATTAAGATGGAGAAAGCAAATTAGACATGTGAGTGACAGCTAGTAAGTGAGATCAAGTCTGAGTTTGACTCTGCATTGGTCTGGTCCTAAAGCTGAGCCCCCTGCCTTCCCCTCCCGCCCTCCGTGGCTCCCCCACTCATCCGCTGCTCATCCATAGCTAGTACAGACCCCAGTTGCCAGAGGGAAAACACCTCATTAAGGAAGGAAAGGGGCTCTACATCAGTCTCAGAGTCCTTCCCCTTGTGAGCTGCAGGCAGTGAAGCTGTTGGCTCACACCAACTTCTGCTGGCACGGTGACCACTGAGGGTGATTGCATTAGTTGGAATTCTCCAGAGAAACAGAACCAATAGGATGCATACAGAAAGAGATTTATGATGATGGATTAGCTCAGGTGGTTAGGGAGGCTGAGAAATCCCACAATCAGTCACCTGTAAGCTGGAGACCCAGGAGAGCTGGTGGCATAATTCCAGTCCAAGTCTGAAGGCCAGAGAACCAGAGCTCTCATATCTGAGGGCAGGAGAAGATGGATGTCCATCTCAAGCAGAGAGAGTGAATTCATTCTTTCTCTACCTTTTGTTCTTTTAAGGCCCTCAACAGATTGGGTGAGGCCCACCCACACTGGGGACAGTCATCTTTTCTCAGCCTGTCCACTCAAATGTTAACCTGTCCATGAGACACCCTCACAGACACATTCAGAAATAATGCTCACCAGTTATCTGGGCATCCCTTAGTCCAGTCAAGTTGATGCAAAAATTAACCACCACAGTGACCAAAGATCAAGTGGTCCCCATGACGACTGTTTACCACTGGCTATTCCTCAGTTCACTGGCTAGCAGCCTTCAGTGGGGCCCTGTCACCTACTATTTCATCTCTCCCTCCTCCTTCACACTCTCTGGTCCAGCATCAACCACAGACACAGAGCTTTCTCACACCCCACCCCCACCTTGCTTGTGTTCCTTCCTTGGCACAATACCCTCCCTGCTTAATTCCAATCATCATTTAAGACTCAGTTCAGGTACTGCTAACACCAAGACCCCCGCCTGGCTCCCCAGGGTCTCCCAGGTGCTCAATATGAAGCCCCAACTCTGTGCTCCCACAATGATCCTGCATGCTGATTTCCAACTCTGCACCAACCACATTATGATGACATTATTCTATAACAATGTTTTTTTTCTCTCATAGTCCAGGGTTATGTTAAATGGGGTCAAGGAGTGCTTAAGACAAGAGGTTCTTGGTGGGTAGTGAGCAAGGGGCCATCTGGAGTAGTATTTTGACATCCTCTGTCCAATTCCTTCTGATCTCATATCAGAACAGGCTGGGCAGGGAGGTCTGAGGGTGGGAATAGGGAGAAATTCAGGACACAGAGTTATTTTTTGAAAACTCCCAAGTGATTCTGAATTAAGATTTGTCTCTCACCCTAGCTTTTGTTTTGGGCCAGCCATTAAGCTTCACAGAGAGATAAATGAACACCTCTTGACACATACAATTTTGGGAAATCTGTGTCTGATACTCAGGGAGACTTGAGACTAGAAAGCCAATTATGAAACTATCATTAGTACATGGAGACTGAACTTGATTGTGGTGATGTTGAAGAGAGGGTCTGGGTTTGGGAAAGGGAGAGTGGGTGTGTAGAGTTCTTGGTGGTGGGAGCAGACCAAGGTGACTTCTGGGATTCCCTCCCCAATTTTATAAAGAAATTCCGTATGCAAATAACATGTCAGTGGTAGAACACTCTCTTTCTCAGATTTGTGACGGCATCCTGAGTTGGTGACAGACCTACTTTGTGACTTTGAGCCAGATTCAGCCCTCACCGTCCAGAAAACATGACCCTCGCTGGTAGGTACAAAAACTCTTTCTGTGATGGGGCACCACAGCATAGGGTATTTCTGTACACACATATATGTACTTACATAGGCACAAAGAAGGATAAAAGACTGACAGGAAGTAGAACTAAGGGTTAAAGGAAGTTCTCTCTAGAAGATGGGTGGGATCACCATTGAGCTTTTCCTCCTTTTACTCATCTGTGTGTGTCTTTAAGAAGTTTTTACAATGTACATATATTATTTTGCACTTAATTATGTTTTCAAATTGTAAAAGAGAATGAGGAGGAGAGTGCTTAAGCACTACATTGGGTTTAGCTGAGAACAGAGAGAGCCTGAACATAGTGGAGCCTAAAACAAGGGTCATTGGCCCTAGGGTGGTAGGGGTACAGGCAGGAGCACATGCCAGGGCCAGGGCAGAGGTGGGCTGGACTTCACCGTATCAGCTCTAACTTGTGACCTCCTGGTTTTCAAATCCTCTTCTGACACAAAGAGGCTAGGCAGTGGTGGGGCTACTCTTTCAGCCCTCATGGACGCCAGCATGTTTGGCTTTGACCACTGCACTGGGAAGGTCAGAGAAGACTCACATCCTGACCTTGCCTCTCAGTGAGGGGCAAGACTAGAGTGATGATGGTGAGCTTCTTTACCTTTCAGTGATGCACTGCTGAGTACCTTGAGTAATATGGAGTGGGATTTCCTGTATCTTGGAGCAAAGTAAATGAACTATTCTGGCAAATGTGAGGAAAGAGAGAACTAGGTCCAGGGTGCCAGGTAGGGGCAAAGGCACTAGTGCTTGCGGTCTTTACCTGAAGGCATTTTGCATTCAGTGCTAAGAAGGGAAACAATGCACTGAGGAGAAGATGGGATCATCTGGGTGCTTTGGAAGGCTCAGGTTCTGATAAGATGGACAGAAGTGGACATAATCACACACGAAAATCCTAAACCAGGCTTCTCAGGGCAAAGGGGGCTGGAGCCTCAGCCAAGGGATGGGTCTGGATGGTTTAGATACCTCTGTGGAGACTGGTCACCCCTGGGTGCTCGGGTATGCAGAGTCACAAGAAGGCTGACTTCTGAGTCTAGAAGGGGGTCACCATGTTGTCCTACTGGTGTTTCTGCAGCCTACAAAGAGAAGATGAAGGAGCTTCCACTGGTGTCCTTGTTCTGCTCCTGTTTTCTGGCCGATCCCCTGAATAAATCATCCTATAAATATGAAGGTAAGTGAGGGCCACCGTTGAGAGAATAACTTGTGGAGGGTTCCTGGGCTTGTATCCATGAGTACCACACTCCTGTCCCAGTTTCATGAAACTCTCCTTCCCATGTCACATTCTTTTTCCCAGAGCCAGTAAAACCACCACAGCTTATTCTGAGGGTCTAAACACCTTGAGAGGGCAAGTGTGGGGCTGCTGCTGGGGGATTAGACAGCAGGTGAAAATCTGAATCAGACCCTCTGCAGAGCAATCTTGATCTTAGCTTTTCTTTATTCATTTAACAAATGGATGCTGTGGAGGATACAGAAGTGAAGCAGACAGAGATTCTACTCTTGGAGAGCATCTAGAATAGAAAACAAGATGCAGTATGAATCACTAGATTCCACGGTTGACAGGTCTCCTCTGGGAATGGTGGAGAATATTCTGAGAGTCCAGAAATGGAGAGAGGGCTTCTACCTGCAGTCACCCAATGAGGGTAACCATGCTGACTGGGACCTGTGACAGGTTCCAGGACACTGGCAAGGAGCACTGAATGGCCATGTTCTGACCAGGGAGGGGCGGGGAACAGGACACCTTTTAATTTTCCAGAGATTAAAAGGAAGGGACAGATTTGTTCTGGAAATGAGAGATGAGAGTGCTTGGGTTACCTGAGATTGTTCTTTCTGTCTAGGCTGGTGTGGGAGACAGTGTAGGAGGAAAGATCAAAGCCAGCGGAAAGACAGTGCTGACTGGAGAGAAAGAAGAGAGCAGGGTAGGAGGGAGCAGGGGAGAGGTGGCAACAGGCTGAGCCATCAGATTGGTAGTGGGACAAGAAGTGGGGTGGTGGGTGGTGGGCAAATACACCACTGTTGGCCACCACTGAGGACAATTTGAGCAAGAGCTCAAGTGTGGGAGAAGCCTTGTGGCAAAAGCAAAAGCATTTGCTACAGCCATTATTAGAAGCCACAAATCCTGGGGCACCTACTCTTGGAGCCTGGGCCCTTACTGTGGCTACCAATTCCTTGAGCCCCATTGGAGCCCACTGACTATTAGGTACCAGGTTCAGGGCCAACCCAGAACCCTGGTCATTGATTTGCTTTGGGGACCCCAGATCTCCCATATATGTATGCACGTGTGCATGCTTTTAGAGGGCCAATCTAGTCTACAGAGAGTGAGCAGCGTGTTTTCTGCTCTCTTCAGCAGATACAGTGGACCTGAACTGGTGTGTAATTTCTGACATGGAAGTCATTGAACTGAACAAATGTACCTCGGGCCAGTCCTTTGAAGTCATCCTGAAGCCACCGTCCTTTGATGGGGTTCCCGAGTTCAATGCCTCCTTACCCAGGCGGCGAGACCCATCACTGGAAGAGATCCAGAAGAAACTAGAAGCAGCTGAGGAACGAAGGAAGGTAAGTGCCATCCTTTCTTTCTTCCAACTCAGCATGACAGGAGGGAGCTGGACAAGATAAGAGGTGGCTCTGAGCTGGGGTCAGGTCACCACCAACCTACAAATATTTAGGTAGTACCTCCCATATACAGGGAAGATAATGAGGAACCATTGAGGGAAACAAAGAAGTAAAGGTCCTTGGTTTCTAGGAGCTTACAGCTTGTTAAAGGGGTAGGGCATTGCATGACATATGTCCACGAGGTGCACACTAACAGGAGGAAGACATTGACAAACACTAAAGATTTCTATAAAGGCTAGACAATCAAGAAAAGGGCTCCTTAAGTGGGGGAAGGTGAAGGTCATGGTGTGGTATTCTTTCATCCCTTTGTGTGCCCTCTGTTTCCTAGTGATTCTTATGGCCCAACTCCGGTGCCATCTTTATGTAAGCTTTCCATCTTTGAAGCAGAAAATAATCTTCTTCTCACTTGGATTTAATGGCCTTTCCTTTCTACCTTTTAAGGCATATATCACATGCTAGTCTGGATTAGAGTTAAATATATATACATATATATGTGTATATATATATATATATATATAACCTCTATGAGACTTTTTTCTTTCCCAAGTTGCTAGGATAGTACTTGGCACATGGTATATAGTCACCTAATATTTGTGAATCAATGAAGGAAGGAGGGAATGAATGAAGGCAATAAGGAAAATCAAAAAACAAAAAACAACAACTGAGGGAATGGTGGGAGAATCCAGAAAGTGTCCTTGTTTCTTGCCAATGGGCCAGGGACCAGGCTCAGGGAGGTATGTGTTCTGGGTATAAAACTCTTAAGTTTTGGTGGTGAAAACACGCCGTGGCCTGTTCACTTTCAAGGGTCTCTTTCTCCCTTTGTGCTGCCTTAGTACCAGGAAGCTGAGCTCCTGAAGCACCTGGCAGAGAAACGAGAACACGAGCGAGAGGTGATCCAAAAAGCCATTGAGGAAAACAACAACTTCATCAAGATGGCTAAGGAAAAACTGGCTCAGAAGATGGAATCGAATAAGGAGAACCGGGAGGCCCACCTTGCTGCCATGTTGGAACGGCTGCAAGAGAAGGTAAGTGTTCTTGGTGAGAGAGGAGACTCCTGGAACACTCTCTTCCTTCCAAGGCAAGTATAAAGGACCTACATATTATTTCAGGTAGCAAACAGCCTCAGGTAGGAAAGGGGGTATTTCTGTTAGACTGGATCTTTACAGGGCTTCAAGGGATGTTTTGGGAAGTCATAGGTAAGAAACATGAGCTGAGCTCTGGAATTCCTTGGGAGATATTATGCGCAGTTACACAATTGAAATTTCTCATTGTCTTAGGGAGATTAGACCTCTTATCTCTAGAGAAAGCCTGCCTAATTCAAGAGAGTAAGGACGAACAAGCCGTTGTACATTCTTGGCTTCATCCTTGAATGGACCGATTCAATTTAATGAAAAATGATGACTTGGGCTCTTGGCTCTAAGCCAAGGACATGATAAGCTGAGTTGACCATTGAGCAGGAAACATGATTCTCTCCAAACCTCTTGATTTGGACTGAGTGAGTCATGGTTCTTTCTAATATTCTGCCCTTTGTCAATAAACCTAATGGTGTCACCTACATAAGAGAAACGTGAGAGACTGGGATTGGTCCCACGTGTCAGCAGAATAACAGCCTGTTCTGCTGAGAACACGTTGGCCTCATTTCCTGAGTCTCAAGGCTGCCCCAGTTTCTCCTGCAGCTCCTGGGAGAGCTCCAGCTCTGTGTTTTATTTCCAGGAGCCGCCTGCTGCGCGGTGACTCCCGGGACCCGATCGGTGGCCTCGTCCCATGGTGAGCAGCGTGGTCCCCACTCCTTCCTGCCCATCCACCTAGAGTCTCAGGCACTTGGCAACAGCTGCTAGAAAGACTGGTTTCTTTACAGGGGATCTGAATGTTGCATAGACCTTGCAGCTAGCCAGCATGTGGCAGCTCTTCCACTCTCACACTCTGCCCTAATAGGGGCAGTAAGGCCTCCACCAAGTATCAGATGGGAGGGAAGTGATCTGGGTCTCACTTCAGTCTTCCCCAGTTGTTGATGGATGGCTAGGAACAAACTCTTGCAAGAAAAAAGAAAAAATCTGGGATTGCCATAAAGTGGGGGATGGGCACTCAGGACAAACCCAGAAGAAATATTAGAGACTAGAGCCATGATATGATATTTTAAAAAATGGCATAAACAGTTTTACTTCTTCCTACTCCCATCCTAACAACAAATCCATGAAGTAAGCAGAACAACGTTATCCTTATTTAATTGATGGGGAAACTATGTCAGAGAAGGTCGAATAACTTGGCCAGGGTCACACAGCCCCTAAGCAGTGGAGCTGGGACTAGAACCCAATTCTCTGGCTATGTAGTCCAGGGGACTCTTTCAACCCCTGTTTCAGGGGGACCAGCCCACAATGATCCCATTAGCTTTTTGCCAGAGAGGGGACAATCAGAGACCAAAGAAAGCCCAGAAATCTAGGGTTCTGCCCAGAGAGCTCACCTGAATGGAGGTCGATTCCAAGGCGAAGAGTTTGAGAAATGCCCTCCATCTGGAGTAATAACTATGGAGGTGGAGTAAGACTCAGAGAAGCAAGATGTTAGAGTCAGAATCTGAGTTGGCATCACTCCTTGGGGACTGTGACCCTCGGGCACCGAGGAAGGTGGGAGGTGTGGTAACAGACAGGTGTGTGGCTTCTGCCTGCTCCAAGTCAATGCTTTCCATGTCAGGTATCTGCATGGGTCACTGACCATCCACATCAGATTCACCGGGTATAGAGTTTAAAACTACAGATCCTTGGGAGCCTACTGATTTACCATCACTGGCTCTCTAGGGATGGTTCCTGAGGACCGAGCAGTTTAACCAATTCCCTAGGTCATGCTGGTAATGCATAGCAAGGTTTAGAACCATTATCCTAGACACACCACTACCCACACTCTTCCCAGGGCAGTGGAAAGTTCTAGGGTCTTCTCAGGGATGGATTCATAGTTTTCAGTCTATCCTGGGCTCCTGGGCTGCCTCAGTAGGCCTACTCCAGGCTGACTTTTGATATCTGAATATGATGCTATCTGGGTGATTGCCAGGGTCTGACAGAGACCATATTTATCAAGCACCTGCCGTGTGCAAAGTACCATAGGAGGAACTGGGAAATATAAAGAAGAAAAAGGCATGCTCCCTGCCTCCAAGAAAGTCACCATCCAATAGAGGACACAGACAGATGCACAATGAGCAGTGACGTAAGGCAGATCATAATGTGCCCTAGAGGGGAAAGCTAAAATCACAGAATTCTAGAGGTAAAAAGAATTTCTGGTTTAGGGCCCTATCTTTAAAAACCAGAGAGCCAAGGTCTGACTGATGAAGTGGTTGGTCAAGGTCACACAGCTGATGGGACTTTGAGGTCAGATCCCATCTTTTGGTTTGATTATGTTGTCCGGCGAAAACGGTTCTCATATGCCACTTATGAAAGAGTCCACTTTTTGGAGTTGGGTGACATTTCCAAAAACTCCCCAGTCAATTTATATTTAAGAGCCCTCATCTTTCACCACGGGGCTGAAGAAAACAACTGAAGGGATGGACAGAAGTAAAAGCAATGGTCATGTTGCAAGTCTGTGTAGGGGACATTTGTAATGAGGACTGTCTGTTCCACCTGGTCCTCCGGCGTAGCTACACTGAGCTGCTCCTTACAATAAGTCAAGCAATGCACTCAGTGCAAGCCCAGGAGGGCCAGGTGAAGGAGGGGGAGGCTGGTGGGGTCTGAGGTTGCTGTGAGGTGGGTCTCCCCGGGGAGGTTGGCCCCAGTCAATGAGCTCCCTGGGGCCGCACCAGTCGGCTCACTCACCTGCCTCCTACCAGTCTTACCTGCGACCTTCTGCCCCTTCTCAGGACATCTTTGCAGACCTTCCTCATCACTTCCTGCAGCTGCAATTCTTTACTTTGGGTTCTCTTAGCCCTTGGCTTCCTTTTTATCCCTGGGGAAGCCTGTGTGACCTGCCCTTTTCACTCCCTTCCTTCTCAGGACAAGCACGCAGAGGAGGTGCGGAAAAACAAGGAGCTGAAGGAAGAGGCCTCCAGGTAAAGCCCAGAGGCCAAAGAAGTTTCCAGAACAGCCGGACAGCTCCAGCAGCTCCGCAGTTCCCAAGGCAGCCTCATCCGCCGTCGGCTGCTCTCCCAGCACTGGGGTTTGGGGGGAGGGGGGTGGCCAGGGGTGTTTCCTCTGCTTTTGGTGTTTGTACATGTAAAGAATTGACCAGTGAAGCCATCCTATTTGTTTCCGGGGAACAATGATGGGGTGGGAGAGGGGAGAGAAGGAGAGAATTTGGGAAAGGAGGTAGAGAAGGACTCATGGACATTGCAACCCTGCCCACCGCAGACTCAGGTCAAGTCCTTGGCTTTTCTTCACAGTGAACATCCAGGCACCGTGTCGAGGGAAGCTACAAACGGGGCAGTAGAAGTACCAAGTGAAGGGTGGGGTCCTGGGTGACGGTGTGGCTGCAGAGCGTGGAAGGAGAAGCCCAGGGAGTGGGTGGGGGGCCCGGAGGTCTTGCTTCTGCCCTGCAACAGGTGGGATGAGGTCTGAGTGTGTGTGTATTAACCATCATCTTTTGATCATCATGACCAATGAAATATTTACTCCAGGTCTCTTGTTCTTTATTTTCTGAATTTGTCCTTTGAGTGTTGGACAGAATATTCTTGGGTTTCTACCCCTAGGGTGGCTGATGTCCCTTTTTTTCCTTAGTTGGACCATCAGAGCATCTGAGAGGTGCTGGGTGAGGCAGGTTAAACAGCCAGCCTTCGGCATAATGGAAAGTTTGCTTTTGCTTTTCTTCTTCTTCATTTTTTTAAACCCCCTTTGTGGGTTGCCCATTATTGGATTGAGTTCACTGAATTGATGAGGAAAGAAATTCCAGCTTGCCTTCTGTGGATTGACATTCCAATGGTCCTCAACACACACAGTAAGAAGGTTCCCCTTTCTTTGGGAGTGTGGGATTCTAGGTGGTCATAAAAGTGAGCAAGGAAATAAAGTGTTTGTTAATGGAATGCAAAGGGATCATTTCAGACCCACCTTATCCAAAACACTAAACCATGACTGGAAAAGAAGTTTCCTTCTTCTTCCTTGCAAACAGGGCCATAGCCTTGCAAGCAGGCCCACACTCTGTATAGCTTTGGACAGCTTTATAAATAAACCTTTTGGTAAGTCCCCCTACACCAAACCACCAGTGGTACCGCATTTGGCTTCTTCATTTTAGGAGGGGATGACAGGAGGTTCATTGATGATGAGGATGAGCCAAGGAGGAAGAAGATAATGGCAGTTAACACTTAAGCAGCACTTACTAGATGCCTGGCAGTTTTCTGGGTATATATCTACGTCTATCTCTACATCTATCACTTCATCCTCACAACAACACTACCCAGTAGTACTCTTATCCCATTTTGCAAACTAGGAAACTGAGGCATACAAAGGTTAAGTAACTTGATCAGGGTCATGCAGACTATATATAGGTGAATTGGGACATGAATTCTGGCCATTTGCTCCCAGAGTCCAAGCCCTTGGCAGCTGTACTCTGCTGTTTCTCAACACTTCCAAACTAGAATGTAAGTTCCAGGAGAGTATTTCTCAAAGTGCCAGTTGTGGCTCATTAGACTGTGAAATCAACTTAGTGGGTGCCACCTAACCTTAATTTTTTTTTTTTAATGGAATATACTAGGAAACAAAACATCAAAGTGACTGCAGGCAACAATGGAGATAGTGTTTTGGAGAAGTTGTGTTTCAATTTTACATTTGCACATGTGTGTTCTAGGTCACAGTATAAGATGTATTTATTTATGGGAGTTGCAATCCAAGGTCCTTGAAAGTCTCTGCTCTCCAGTGAATGTGGAGACCAGACTTATAGCCCCAGGGGCTTTAAAAGCTACTGTGCTTGAGAAAGTGAGAGGCTTGGGGCCATGCCATCTAGAACTGTCTGCCTCTGAGTAAAAGGAGACAAGAATGGCTTCAAGGGTCTATTCCCACAAATCTACCCCACTAGCATCTTCATCCTGCCATGGGAAAACCCAAGGCTGGGAGGAAGCTTCATTCTCACTATTCTCTTTCACCAAACACTTGTACTTAGCATTCATACCTTGATCAACCCTATAAATCCACCTCGCCATCCTTTGCAAAGGCAATTCTCTTACTTGGGTTGCTCTTCCCTGCCTTGCTGAATATTAATTCTTAATCATTCTTTTAAACTCAACTCAGATATTAAGTTCCCTGACTTCACCAATATTTGGTACCTTTTACATGGTTTGATTACTATGTAATTATTTGTTTACCTATCTCTCTCATCTATTAGACTTGAAGTTTCTTGAAAGCAGGAACCAGTTTTATTATTCTGTCCTAGGCACTGGTTGCTCCAGAATTTCTTCATAGGATGGGATTACGGGCAGCAATCTAGTTAAAAGAAAGGCCAGGCCACTTGTCCTGAAGCTTCATTGGTACAGCATTTTATTGAAGCACTGTATATAAGACCCAGAAAACACACTCAATTGCACATATCAAAGAATATGGCTTGATCTAGATTAGGCAGAAAACTACAATCTGTCAACAAGACACCCCTGGGTCCCACTAATCCTCAGTGCCTGACGTTGAAAAGTGAAAACTCCAATTATGTGCTCAGCATGGAGCTAGCTTCCAAGCATTAAAAAGGATTCCTACATTGAAAGGTTTACACACCACTTGGGATGCAAATGAAATGTCCAACGTGGCAGATCTTAATTTTTTAGTTTATATCAAAATCTCTCTGAGAGCTTGTTAAAATGTACATTACCAAGTACGTTACAAACAGTGGGTGTTTGTAAATGAAAATAATTGACCAGGCTTACTGAAATACTACCTTTTTGAGGAGGTTGCTTTGGAATCGACATTTTAAAAAGCCATTCCCCAGCTTTTTAGGTGCCAATCCTGACTACAACTTGAGGAGTTCTGTAAGATTGAGAACTAAGCCTTAGGCAGTATATCCGAAGGTAAGAGTGGGGGAGAAGCCTTCACGGAGTGGGCAGCACTCAAGGGTGAGCAGACTTTAAACAGAGAGGAAGAGGCAGATACGGGAAGGGAGAGTTGTACACGTGAGGTGGGAACCATGAAGAGTGGGAGGGAGTTGCTGCCGCAAAAGTGGATAAATTCATCATCCAGGAAGAGTGTACAAAGAAAAGGGCTCTTGGGATTGTGGCAAGATGTTGTGGCAGGATGAGGAACTGGGGCCACGGAAGAGAGGCATATTTTAAACCTTAGATCCCAAACCAGGTTTTCAATGGAGGCCATAATGCCCCCTAGAGGGCATTTTGGAAATGTGCAGCTGCAATTTTGGAAAACAAAAAGCAGGCTTAGCGCTTCCTTTGAGTGGGGGGAGACCAAGGATGCTTGGCTGCACGGAGACAATGTCCCACATCACACTGGACTTCTGAATGAAAAGGAGAAACCTGTTTATGATCATCTCAGCCCAGACCCTAGCTCAGTTTTATAAATAAACACACTCCGCCCCCCTCCCCCCATGACAATTTAAATATTTGCTGACTTTTACAGGAATGCAACTTCTCAGGTCTGCCCGTCTCTGGTCTTTGTCCCTTGATCGCTCTCATTCCTCCTGCTCTTTTCTGTCTCCTGAGTCCTAGTCCTGTCCATTCACTCTGTCCTTGGACTTGATTCTTCTTTCCCACTCAGCACCTTCTCAAAGACAAAAGCTAATCTGAACCCACACTGAGAACATTAAAAAGCAAACCTTGAGGGGTGCCTGGGTGGCCCAGTCAGTTGAGCAGTGAACTCTGGATTTCTGCTGAGTCATGATTTCAGGGTCATGAGATGGAGGCTCCTGTCAGGGCACAGAGTCTGCTTGAGATTCTTCCTCTGCCTCTGTCTGCATTCCCCCCTACCCCGATCCCTCCCCGCCACCTCTCTCTTTCTTACAATAAACAAATAATAAATAAATACATAAATAAGTAAATAAGATCTTAAAAAAGAAGCAAATCTTGAAAGAATCATACTGCTTTCAAGTAAACTAAAGTCATGCCAGAATGAAGTCCCAATCAATTTAAAGGAATCCAACAAAACCCAGGACCAACAATGTAGACTTCAAAATGTCTAGCATTCAATAAAACTTTGTCAGGCATACAAAGACATGAGAAAATACAACATTTAGTCAAGAGTAAAATCTATAGGTGCAAGTATAGAAATGACAAAAATGATGGAATTAACCAAGATGTTAAGACTTCTAGAAATTCACTCCAGATATTCAAGAAACTAGTGGAAAGCATAGAAGAAATGGAAGATATAAAAAAGACCCAAATGCAACTTTTAGAATGAAAAATACAATTGGGAAAAAATGCACTGGGTGGTATTAATGGCTGGTTAGTTACAGTAAAGGAAAGCTTGACGGTAAAGACAAAACAATAGGGGCACCTGGTGGCTCAGTTGGTTGGGCGACTGCCTTCGGTTCAGGTCAAGATCCTGGAGTTCCAGGATCAAGTCCTGCACTAGGCTCCCTGCTCGGCGAGGAGTCTGCTTCTCCCTCTGACCTTCCCCTCTTGTGCTCTCTCTTTCTCTCATTCTCTCCCTCTCAAACAAATAAATAAAATCTTAAAAGAAAGACAAAACAATAAAGACTATCTAAAACTAAGCATAGGATGAAAAGGACTAAAGAAATGAAGAAGATAGCAATGAACTGTGGAGCAAGATAAATGTTTTATCATATGTAAAATTTGAGTCTCAGAAAGAGAGGAGAATGCTGGGGTAGTGAGGGAACAGAAAATATATGCAGAAATAATGGCTGACATATTTGAGATTTTATAAGAAGTGTAAGCATCAGATTTAAAAATCTCAACAAACTTCAAGAAGGATAAACATAGGAAAACCATACCAAGATATACTCTAATCAAATTGTTGAAAAAAGTGATAAAGAGGGGTGCCTGGGTGGCACAGTCAGTTAAGTGCCTGACTCTTGGTTTTGGATCAGGTCATGATCTCAGGGTCTTGGGATACAGTCCTCCATTGGGCTCTGTGCTCAGTGCAGAGTCTGCCTGGAGTTTCTCTCTCCCTCTCCTTCTGCCCCTCTGCATGCGTACTCAACTTTCTCAAATGAATAAATAAATCTTTTTTTAAAAAGTGGTAAAGCGAAAAATCTTAAAAGCAGCTGGGGAGAAAAGGCATTAGATACAGCGAATCAGAGCTAAGAGTGATAGCACACTCTTCTCAGAAAACAGTTGTTACGGGCTGAACGTGCACTCCCCAAATTCCTATGTTGAAGACCTAACCCCCAGCACTCCCAGTGATTGTATTTGGAGATAGGTCTTTCAAGAGGTAATCAAATGAGATTGTATGGTGGGCCCTAACCCAATGTGACTGGTATCTTTATAAGAAGAGGAGGTAAGGACACAAACATACAGAGGAAAGACACAGCAAGACAAAGCAAGAAGGTGGCCATCTGGGAGAGAAGGAGAGAAGCCTCAGGAGAAACCAACCTGGCTAACACCTTGATCTTGGACTTCTAGCCTCTAGAACTATGAGTCTGTCGTTTAAGCCACCCAGTCTCTGGTAGTTTGCATGGCAGTCCTAAAAAACTAATAAAATAATGGAGCAAAATCTTTAAAGTT